GTCCCACTTTATACAAAATGTTATTTTGGCTAAGGATGGTATTATTGTTTTATAACAATGCTTGTGTATCACTTGCTAGCTGAGGACCTTGGAGCTCTGAGGCCAGTCTCACTGTAAGGCTCTACGTGGATGTAAAAGAATGGCTTCTAAACTGAGGATGAAAAAAGGCTTATTTCCTAATATTGTGGCATGACAAGAAGTGAGATAAATGACAACATGTCTTGTTTGGAAGGGGTAGGCTATGCTATTGTTTTACACTTACATTTGACATTACTTACAACAATGTATTATGACAGGGCTATAGAAATCTGGCTGTAGGAAACATTTTTTTTCTTACTGTTTTTGCACACCTCTGCAAAAGCCTCAGCAAGAATGTGAGTGTGGTCTCTGTTAAAGGCAAACATAAAGGTAGATAGAGTTCCTTTGCTTGAAATCTTCGTTTTAAAATCTGGCTTCAAAGTGGTAGCAATGAATTTTGGAGCAGGGCTGGTGGAATGTTAGAGCACAGTAATAACTTTCCATGGCTCTCAACTTGTTTTAGTGCAGATCCAAATCTGAGTGAATGTATTGGTATAGTTTTGGGATTTAGAAGAGAAGGTGTCTGGAGTTGTATTCTTTATATGGGTTTGTATTCTCTTTGAGGTTATGAAGAAGAAAATGTTCTTATTTCTCACTTCTGGATGGCAAAATGGAGTCTGAGAATCATGTGTGACACAGCTTCATACAACCCTTCAACCTTTAGATTGTTTTGGTGAAGACATTTATTGCCTCCTAATTTTTTTCTAGCTCTTTCCTCTTAGTGCTATGGGGCAGGGAGGAAGGACATTTAGATTACTGCTACTATGGAAAAATGAGATACTCTGTTATCTGCTTTGTTAATGTAAAGAAGTCAACCTGTGGTGATGAACCTCATCTCCATCTTGGGTTGTATGGCAATATTTATATTCTGGTCACATCCTTGGTGAGCATGTAAAGTGGTAGCTGGAATTGCTAATGAGTGCAGTTTGGTGGTGCAGTCTCTGCCCGTCGGTTGAAGGCTGAGGGGCAAAATCTACAGAAATACCTGCACAGGCTCTTTTAAGACTAGAAGAAGACCTGTTAACCTTCATTTAATAAGGGAACATTGTCTGCTATTTAGTAAGCCTTACCTAAGTATTGTCAGTGTGAGCTGCATCTGTACAGATCTGTGTTTTCATGCAGCTGTGGCTTTTGAGAGTTATCATGCAAATGATCTGACGTCATGACACTCATTTCTTTGTGTGCATTGCAGTAAATGAGCTCTGCTGAGATGATGACTGTCAAATGTAACCTGTAACCATGATGCTGAAATGGAAGTTCCAAGAAAACAAAGAGGCAGAGGCAAATAAAGGGAAAATAAATGGAAGGAATGTAATTCTGACACAGTTTTTTCCTAACCTGTTCTGCCAGAAGGCTTCCAAACCTTGTGGAGTTCTGCACAGATATAATTTCTTTCCACTGAACCCTTGAAAGAATCTTTTTAAATAGGTCAAACACAGTTTCATTGCTTTAAAGTTCTATATCTCTCGCTATTATGAAACTGTGAGCAACCTTGACAACAGCGAACTGAGCTGAGCTCCCGAAAATCCGCAGTCAGGAAGGGGGTATTTGTGCATATGGTTCTGTTGGCTTTCGGTGTGTAGTGTGTTTTCACATGGCAGGGGAAGGGAATAAACCCAGGAAATTTGGAATAACATTTACTTTTATACAATAATAGCGGCTTTTGCTCGGACAGCTACGAATATCGTTTTTTTCTTGCTATTGCAAGCTGACATTATATTCTGTTTGAAGCTCATCATGAAGCACATGGAGTTTTTCCCTTCTTTTCTCTGTTCATTCTTATTGTTTTGTTTAGTAGATGCTGAAATTCTTGTTACAAACAAGAAAAAGAAATAGTTTGCTTCTGTGTGCCCCTGAAGTCATGGCAGGCAGTTTTGGTGGCTGTCATTTGATTCTGTCACTTTAGGAAGTAGAATATTACCTTCATCAAGGTTACTTCACATTAGTTTCACATTTACTTTCAGAAGTAAATATGCATTGATCTTCATATATCAGTTTGTGTTTATTTGGGGAAAAGTTTGTTGATGATCTAAATGACTTCGTGACTTAAGACTTTAAGTATGTTCACAACACAACAGTGATTTAGCAAAATTAAAACTGTTACTTACATGTTGGATGAAACCATATAGTGGACACTGTCTTATCTTACATGGCTTTGTTGCTAGTCAGCATGGAAAGTAAAACTGCAGCTCTGACATGATCAAGGATTAGAAAATGGAAAAGTCATTGCTCCCATGAGAAATGTAACATGCATTTATCAGTGGTTGTAACTTCCCATTTGGATGTTCTGAGCATGCATGAAAAGTGGCTTTTTACTGCACAGTTTACTCTGATTTTGCAGTTAGTGTTGAGATCCTTTCTACCCTAAGCTCATGCCAAACTTAGGTTTCGGTTCTTAGCTTTGAATATCATTCTGTACGTGACTTCAAAATGAAACGCATGCAGTATTTCAGAGCTAGGTTGCCTTTGGCAAATATGTTCCAAAGCCAGGTTTCTGGTGTCCATAGCAACGTGTGGGAGAGGGAGGAAAGGCTGGACCCGAACGGGGACAGACATGCAAGTAGGGATTTGGAATTTGCTAAGTGAGAAAAGAGCTTGAGGTTGAAGAAAGTAGTGAGAGAGGCAATAGTGGGCTGATTAAAAAGGGTGAAGCAGAGGTTGTAAATGGGAAATGGGTTGATGCGTTTATGCCTAATAGAGCATGCTAATTGTAAAAGACCTGAAATAACACTCTTAAACTATAACAAAACATTGGTGAAAATTACAGTCAGTTTTCCCATTTCCCTATGTGTGATGGTACGTGAAGCAGGTAATAATGTTTCCCTGCTATTGTTTCTTCCATTAGCTCAAGGAAAACATTTGTGCATCTCTCATTTTGTATCCTTAAGTATATATATTGCATAATTTCACGTCATATTTCTCTTCTTCTCTACCTTGTTCTCCCATTTGCTCTTTATTTTCTTCACTTCATAGACTTGTTTTTGAATGTTTGCTGCAGGTGGAAGAGCTGAGTGTATGTGATAGGACTCTATGGAAGTGTGTGGTCCCACACAGGGCTTTTAAAATTGTGTGCTGGAGCATAGGGCTATTTCCTTGGGGAAAAAAATTGGGAAGTAGTAAATTTGCCCAGGTCTATGTCTAATGCAGTAGAACATAATGTTTTATTATGCCTCTGTATAAATTTATGGTAGATTATAATAAAATTTTGTATACCTCATATCCTGTATACTATACACACTGCCTGTCCTTCTGTTCCTGTTTACTGCCTCGTGTAATTAAAAATCTGTGAATACCAAATACAGTTATCGGGATCAGGTTTAAATGGAATGATATATCTTCTACTCTGGTGCATAAGTAAGCCGTGGAACTGCTTGCTCCCAGGTGTTACAATTTAACACAGATTCAGAAGTAATATTAATGAAGATTTGATGAACATCTTTAAATCTAAGATTCCAAATACGAGTCCAGAAATTCCTGATTCAAAAATCACCTAGTATCTGGAGAAAATGGCTTATAAATATTATAGCTTTTATATATAGCTGTTGCAGCTTTTAAGTGCTATATCTGTATTCTGTTCCCATGTCCTTCCTTTACCATCCTGTTGATACTTGGGTAGATAAGATGCTGGACCAGATGGATCTTTGGTCTCACATGTGGTGGCTGTTAGTATGTACTAGTTACCGTGGTGTTTGCTTTTAAGAAGCAGAGGAAGGAATCTCATCATTCTGTGTCCACAGAACTGTTTCAGCAATGTATGGTATATTTAAAAAAATGAAACCACACATGATAGAGAAAACAAATTTTAATAGCAGTTTATAGAGAGCTTTTTATTAGGTATGTCCAAGGAATGCAACCAGATTTTGCAGAACAAAACGTAATGTGTGATCATAGTAGGAGCTGAGACTTTTTTTTTCCCAAGTGGGGCAGCAGACTTCAGACTGAATGTTTTATGAATTGAAGCTTAAAGTGCAGTGGATATTCTTGGTGGTTGTGGGTGGTGGCATTGTTTGTTGTGACCAGTGGACATCACATAAACTTAGTGTTGATTTGATCCGAAGTTCTACGGAATAGTATTTTTAAATATGTTGGGAATTTTACAGTGTTTTACCAAAGCAGTCCTTTAGTTGATAGCAGGTAAATATAAAATGACATCCCTTCATTTTGTGATGTTCCTTCACCTCTTTTTTTCCCTCTGAAGCTGTATCAGAACATCATGGTTGTTTCCTCAGTGGAAATTGAATGTATTGTGAAGTGCAGCCTGTGACTAATCTGCCTCTTGCTGTCTCTGCTTATTAATGGGCTGATGGTGATGTGGTTGCACCACTCTGTACACATGGCCTCAAGGATATGGCATTGTGACACCCATAGTAAAATATGCAAGACTTGATTTCAAAAGACATTTTGGGTTGGAAAGTTAGAGAGGTTATAAGCTAATATTGTGGCTGGTTTTACCCTTTTATTTTAATGAATATTGGGTGGTAATAGAATAAGGTGTACCTATTTCATGTTTATACACTCTAGTGTACAGCTGATGCACTAGAGGCTATTTATTTCAATTTGTTCTCCAGTTCTGTTGAATTAATGTTATCCTCAGTTGAAGCAGTGTGTTTGGGATATGGCTCAGCAATTCTTTTTTTTTTTACTGAAAATACATTTAAAGTTGGTTCAATTCCAGTGTTTTACATGTTAGTTTGGTTCATGAGTACCAGATAAATATTATAGTGGCACATGGGCTTTTCAAGTTGCATGCACCTTTATCTTTCTAACAATATAAGGACATGGAACAAGTGCTGGAATGGTAATTGAGTATTGACAAATACGTAGATTCCAGATTATTGAAGAGAGAGTAACTGTGTGAGTGACTTAATTACTCATTTGTGTATTGGTAACTTTTCATTTATTTATTTTATTTTTTAGGCACATATAAGAAGAAATAAGGAACCTTTTCTCGAGCTGAAGACAAAGTAAAAGAAAACTGTATCATGTGTTAGAATACTGAAGAGTGACATTTGGATTAGTGTATTTCTGGATTGTAAAGCAAAAGAAAGAAGAGGACGAAAATGGGGAGAAAGAAAATACAGATCACCAGAATAATGGATGAACGGAACAGGCAGGTGAGAAACAAGGAGTCTGCATGAATGAGTTCAGTAATCCTAAAAATGAATGGAAACTTTGAATACATTTATCCTAATGCTCTTCTAAAGCCAAATGCCGTCTTCATGTACCTACAGATGGCATTACCAGAATACAAATAAATGTCTTAATGGTTTTACTACTGTTTGAGGGGAAATCTATTATTTATAAATTATATCAATTACTACTTTAAATTCACTGTAAAACTACTATTCCTATTTAAATGGTACCCTGGTCTGTACTTCCTTTAGACTGGAGTATCATGTTGAAACAGACACCTTGCTTGATCCGATAGTGGTTTGGATGTAGTAAGTTTTGTTAACATGATTCTATTTAAAAGCATTGTTTTATACCTCTTGTAAGAGCTGTTTGCTGTAACAGTCTGGAAAAATTGTCAGTCAAAAGGGTAGAGTATTCCAATGTGTGCTGATTTAGGGAGAGCTGCTTATTTGGCTGCTCTTGCCCTGATATAGGTGTCTTTGAAGAATACCAAAGGTTGATGACTCTGTAGAAGAAGAGTTTCCTCTTAACTTCTACATTGCTACATAAGATAGGAAATGAAATTTTAATTGGACATTGAAAATGTATAGTGGGGATCTGGAAGCTACCATTTGTAAGGACAAGTATTGTAGAATGACTTGGGACTCTAAGAATAGTCATTGCGGGTCAGACCAGAGGTGCTGCTAAGCGGTATCTTTTGCTCAGTGCTGGTCATAAGCAAGAAAGTGTAGGATGGAAACGCTGTTACACTAATACTCTTCCAGCTTCTAACTATTCTTAGCTCAGGGATTTCCTGAGCTGGATGTGGTTTCTGTATATTTAGCAACCATTAATGGATATTTTTATTTTTGTTTTCCCCACCCCCTGCCAGTGAAGTTGTTCAGTTATCCCTGGAGCCCTTACAAAGCTGCAGCATTTACAGCATCTTTTGGCTAGGCTTTCTTATGGGTCCGTTACCTGTTGTTTCAAGATACACCTTGACATTTACACTTTGTCATAGCTCTGCTAGTTATTCAGCTCTTGTATGGGAGAGGCAGCAGTCACTCCCTATCTAGTCTGTCCATCTTGCTTGTTACCCTTTGGACCTCTGCAGTGTTTTCTTATTTTCTCTAAAAATAACTTTGTTCAGGCTGAAGCACCCTGAAACTTCATTGTTTTAGTACAGAATTGATCGCACACATTTGACCATTCTCTCTGCTTTCCCCTAAACCTTCTTGAGAATCGCTGCATTATTTTTGGTGGCAAGGAGACCCATAACTGCACAGTGTTCAAGATGCAGAAAAACGCGGACTTCGTGGTGTACTGATGTTTGTTCTCTGTTCCCTTCCTCGTATTTGATTTGCTTTCTTAACTTCTCCTGAGCACAGACTTGATGTTGAGGTAGTGTCAGAATTCCATGAGGCTGCCTTGTTGCTGATGCATCAGCTCAGAGCCCATGGCTTTGTTAGTGACATCAGGATTGGTTTTCTCCCTGTATCACTTTAAAAGCGATGTAAACTCTCAGAAGACTATATATCGCAAGAAAAGTATTATTGGAGTTTGGGAGAAAGCCAAGTATTGTGTTTTAGCAGCTTTAATCACACGACGACTGTATGTTTGATGTAGATAAATGTCTTAAGTACATGTAGTAAAAGTAGATGAATTAGTAACTTCAGTTCCTGTGGATCTTGCTCTAGAAATTCAGACATGTTGAAGAGCTGGAAATTAATCCCACTTTCCCTTTTTTTAATTCATTTGGAGTAACTTGGACAACACTGTTTTTGTTCTTGAAATACAAAAACTATTACAGTGTAACCTGGCTTTGGGGTGGTGGACTTTAGGGGGAGTTGGTTTTTGAGGATCTCCATCTCATTGTTCAGGCTGCATCAATGGAGGAGAATTAGTGCATTTGTGTCAAATTTTAGCCCACTTGTACCGTTAGTATGACTGAAGCAAAATATGGGAATTAAATTTGAAGTTTTGTCTCTGACTCTTCTTTGCTAGGACTTCTTTGGGCTTTTTAGTGATTAGGAAGAGGCTTTAAGTTCTAATGGAACTAGGCTTGTGTCCTGGGTTCAGCTGCAGCAGTTACTTTTCTCCTTAGCTGAACCCAGGACAGCTTGCCTTATCCTTTTTCTGTGGAAACTCAGAGATGATTATATACTGCATCTTGGGTTTAAAGAGATTAAATAGCTTTTGTTAGTGGAGCCATATTTCTTAGGTGTAGAGGCGCTGATGGTGTTCTTTAACTCCACTGGCGTCCTGTGATTTTGGTAGCTGGTCTATAGAGTTTTAATATACTAAAATGCCCTGATGCACTTGGTATTAATTTACTTTGACATTTTTTTTTCATTGACCCAGGTAAGGAGGCCATTTGGGGTTTGTTTTGTCAAACTCAAAGTGTAGTTCAGTTGTGTTCTTTCAGTTTTTCTGTGGCATACATAGCTGGTTAGTAGGTCACTCGTGAACATGCATGTGATGTCCTGTTTAGATGTCCGATATGATGATAAGGTGTTTGTTTGAATGTATGATCAGAATGGGGTAGAGCTTTGCCTGTAGAGCAAGTTCACATAACTTACGTGGGAAGAAAAACTATTGTTTTATCAGAGGCGTCTTATTTCTGATGGGACTGCATGCAAGCTCAAAACAGAATATATAGACCGTTACTCTGGGGGATTACAATTGTCCCGAGACTGTCATTGTACTATTAATTAAGCAATCTTACCTGCTTGAATGAGCAGTAGGACATTTATCTTCATTAAGCTGAAGAGAATCAAGTGCAGTAAATTAGATATCAGAGAAGCTCAATCTTGTTGCCTTTGCTCTCTCCTCCTCCTCCCCCATTTTTTTTGCTAAGCAATGTTGGAATAATGCTGAGGAAGTCATTGGCCTGCAAAGATACATCTGTTTGGTTTTAGCATGATCCTAAATGGCACATTAAATGGCAAAAAGAAAAGACAAATATGCAGAAGAAATTCTGCTTTCTGAGTTCTTAAATGAAAACTGAGTTTATAGTAATCTGTGTCTGTTAAAGTAAGGCTTGGACTCCAGAGGTACTGGGGTTTGTGCTGAGCACTGTCTAAACACAGAGTGAGAAATTGATGCTGGCTGAGAATCTCACAAGTAAGAAAACCTCTCAAGTAAAATAGCCTTAGAAGAGACAAGAAAGATTACTTTTCGGGGTCATATGGGTCCTCAGTGGAACTAAGCCTTCAGTCTTTTCATTTAGTGACTTCTTAAAGTAATAACAGCACACACCCATCTTGTTTATGATGCCTTTTTTCCTGACAAATGGTAGTACCTGTCTGTACCTGCTCATACTCAGGCAATAATCTCTTAAGTGTCTTGTAGTTGAAGTATATCAGAGCAACAACAACAGCTGTTCAAAAAAACCAGTGTTTCCCAAATCCCCAGATGAATCCAGACAAAGTAATTCTTAATGTTCCATCCAAGAAAGGATAATTGCCAGTGTTGTGGAAATAAGCATGTGTAAAGTGACAGAACTGCCAGAAGATTAACACAAGATCTTCTTTTGAAAGCAGCTGTACTGTATTATAGGTGAAGTTCCACCTGCATTTTGGAAAAGCACAGCCCAATAAAACCTGTGTTTGTACTTGGTCAATTTGTTGAATTGATAACTGAAAATAAAACTCTAACAGAAGTTGCATTATATTAAAGTCTGTCAGATTTTGTGGCATCTTGTCTCTCTGATGTATTGTACTGGTTAAACAATAAGTAAGTAAGTAAGATCTGCTTACCCTGCTTGGGCCTTAATGCGTTACAGCACTTTACATAAAATTGTTTCAGACATAGTGGTGTATCTTAATGGAGCTTCTCACCAAACATGCTTTAAAAGGGTTGAATAAAAAAGTTATGGGAAGTACTTATCTTTCATCTGAACATGGATTATTCAAGCATCAGAAAAGCCTCTGTGATTAGTAGTCTTTAAACCCTAAGTCTCTAAGTTAGAAACACTGCACAGTTTAACTGTGGTTATAATACACCCAACATTCCATATTCTCATCTTTCTAGGTCTTCTCTTCATTACCTCTTCCTGCTGTGCCTAAATGTTTACAGTCCAGGGTTTCAAAAAGTGTGGGGACACTGGTTTTTTGGGGGCAGGGGGCACATGTTTTTGATGGATATGGATACAGTTTTATAGCTGGAGGGAAACCTCAGGTCCACAGTACCTTTGAAAACACCTGTGGTTTAAGAGTGAAGCATGCATATACTCTTTTAATAGTACAGTCACTGTCAGCATGCTGTTGTTAGTGTATCTGTCTGCATCCCCCTGAGACTATTTATTTGGTGGGAAGTAGAGTATACATTTTGAATTATGGATAGTATTAAAAAAGTAATATGCACGAGATACTCATCTCTGGAGAAAATGCCTTGAGGTGTGTATACGCAGAATTTTCCCACCCATCTTCCAAAAACTTGATGTACACCTTGGTAATTAACACGTGAAATAATAGAAACCCATAAAACAGGTTTGATAGTTTCTTGTGTTTTGCTTCATTCCTATCTTGCAAAAGTTTCTGACTGTTGTCTGTTAAACAAGTAGGGAATGTAGGTCATTTACCTGTGCAGAGGCATTTACTTCCAATAGTAATACAGGACTGTGTATGTGGCCATGGACAGAGGTGTTTTATTCAGCTCTGAAGCTCAGATTGAAAGTTTGGATCTGAAAATAATATCTTTATTAAAAAGGTCTTGAATTTTAACTTCATACTAGTAGATTAAGTGCCTTTTTGAGGCACTCAAGAGGACATTTAATAAAAATACTGTCTTCTAAGAAAAGTTGACCTTGGCATCAGTCCTGTTTGATTCAACTTGCTATCAAATACATTGATATTCTTATATCCCGAACTGGAATCCTGTGAAAGGAGTAACTTTTAAAACCTTTTTTCTCATAATTGATGGTGATTTTTTTTAAGTGTCTTTCCCCCTTCTCCTATGGGCAAACGGTCCTTTGTGATGGTTTGTAATGGA